TTTTTAAATATAATATAAATTTATTACAATCTATAAATAAAATCGATTTTTTTAGGATCCGCAAACGGCTATTCCTAAAGGAACATTGTTAGCTATTCTTTTAACAACTATATCTTACCTCTTTATGGCGCTTATGGTGGGCGGCTCAGTTATGCGAGATGCATCTGGCGATGTTAATGATCTGTGGAACATTTTCAATAGTTCGTATACTGCCTTATTAAGTTCGAACACAACTAATGAAACAACTGAATCTTCAATTATTGTAAATTCCAATCAAATAATATGGAGTATATATAGTACAAAATTTAATTGTACAGGAAATTGTCAATATGGTAGCCATAATAGTTTTCAGGTATATTTTTTTAAATTATGTAAAAATTATGTAAAAAAACGTAAATAAATATTTAAATTTTATATTGATAATTTCATAGAAAACTATTTCAGGTGATCGAATTGGTCTCTGCATTTGGACCATTTATTTATGCTGGATGTTTTGCAGCTACTTTATCAAGCGCTTTAGCATCATTAGTTTCCGCACCTAAAGTATTTCAGGCACTTTGTCTCGATAAATTATATCCTGGAATAGCATGGTTTAGTGGCGACAAAGATAAAGAACCAATTCGTGGTTATCTTCTCACTTTTATAATCGCAGTTGGTTTTATTTTAATCGGTGAGCGTTATTCTTTTATATTTTTGATAAATAATATTTGATAAATAAACAAATTATTTGTTTATATTTATTATTTAAATAAAAATTTTTATTTATTTCAGGAGAATTGAATGCTATAGCTCCTTTGATCTCAAATTTTTTTTTGGCTGCCTACACTCTTATTAATTTTAGCACTTTCCATGCTTCGTTGGCAAAACCAATTGGTTGGAGACCAACGTTTAAAGTAAAATTTGCATTAAATTTATTAATAAAAAAAAACTTTACTTATTTTATAATGGTAATATGATTTTTTTTATATCTTATTATTTTAGTATTATAATATGTGGCTAAGTCTTGCTGGTGCTATTCTTTGTGTTTCTGTGATGTTCTTGATCTCATGGTGGACAGCGTTGATCACATTATTTATAGTATTAACACTTTATTTAATAGTTTCTTATAGAAAACCAGGTAATATTTTATAAGTATTTTGATTACATAAGAAGATAAACATAAAAATAACATAAATTAATTATAATTATTTTGTAGATGTTAATTGGGGTTCTACAACACAAGCCCAAACATACAATAATGCCTTAAATGCTGTTCAACAATTAGATAGAGTTGAAGAACATGTTAAAAATTATAGACCTCAACTGTTAGTATTAAGTGGCACTCCAAGTGCAAGATCAGCGCTTATTGATTTTGCACATCATATTACTAAAAATAATAGTTTATTTATTTGTGGCCATATTATTGAGGTATAGTATATTTTAATTAAAATTATTACATATTCTTTATATAATGATACATTTAAATTTCCATATTTTAGACACCAATATCATATAAGACGCGAAATTCCATGATTGCAAATTGTACTTCTTGGTTTAGAGCAAATAAAATTAAAGCATTTTATTCTCTGGTGGATGGTGCAAATTTTCAGGACGGCACTACTTCTCTTTTACAAGCTGCCGGTTTAGGAAAAATGAAGCCTAATATTTTATTAATGGGCTATAAACAAGACTGGGCAACTTGTCCTCGAGAAAATTTAAATATGTACTTTAATATAATGCAGTGAGTACATACATACATATTAAATTTATAAACAAATTAAGAAAAATAAAAATTTTGTGGTAATTTTTTTTTATATAGTAAAGCTTTAGATATGCATATAGCAGTAGCTCTTCTTCGAATAAGTGAAGGTTTAGATTGTAGTATAGGAGATGCTGAAGAACAAAAGAAAAATATCCAAACAATTCCAGGGAATCAAAGCTTTTCTCAACTTAGTCAAGGTTTATATAATACTTAATATTTTTTTTATAAATACTGAATTTTTTCTTATATTTTCTTATCATATTTTTTTAATTAATATTTATTTCTATAGCCAGTAGTACATCAGATATTTCTATTCCTGGAAGTCCAGCTCCAAGAAGATCTAAAATGATCAATGAATATCCTAATCCAACTGCAGAAGATCAACGTGAAAATCGACAAAATTTTCTACCCATAGCGAAAGATATACTTAATGCTGTAACAAAATTCCAACGTAAACAAAAAAAGGGTACTATAGATGTATGGTGGTTGTATGATGATGGTGGTTTAACTCTTTTATTACCCTATATTATCAGTACAAGACGTAATTGGTCTAATAATAAATTAAGAGTTTTTGCCTTAGCAAATAAAAATTCTGAACTCGAATATGAACAAAGAAAGTAAGTAATATATTCTTATAAATGAAAATAGATAAAACAAATTTATTAATTATATTATTGCTTTATTATTATAGTATGGCAAGTCTTTTATCAAAATTCAGGATAGATTATTCTGCATTGAAAGTTATACCAGATATTTCAAAACCAGCACAGAATACTACCAAAAGTTTCTTTGATTCATTAATAGCAAATTTTCAAGAAACAGAAAATACAAAAACAATGAATGATGGTATTATTATTTTTATGAAATTTTTATAACTTTTATAACTTAATGAAATGAGAAAATATTAAAAATTAATTTATTTTCAGATATTATCAAAGATTCTGAATTAATTGCTATGAAAGAAAAAACAAATAGACATCTACGTTTAAGAGAATTATTACTTGAAAATTCGATGGACGCTAATTTAGTAGTTATGTAAGTAAAATTATAAAAACAAACTAATATTTTTAATGATTTTTTTAATTATTTTAAATCAATTTTATTTTATTTTATTTCTTCTTTAGGACATTGCCAATGCCTCGAAAGGGTGCTGTTTCAGCACCTCTCTATATGGCTTGGCTCGAAACTTTAACACGTGATATGCCACCATTTTTACTTGTTCGAGGAAATCACACATCTGTTTTAACTTTTTATTCTTAATAATATAAAATAAATAACAAGACTTGTGCATTATATGATATTGAAATTAAAGTATTTTATTTTATCAATGACTTAAAATATTGTCATGAATGCGAAGATAAAGAGATAAAATAGATGAACTGCCGTGGAATATGATAAAAATAGAAAGAGACCTTTATATATTTATATCAAAAAGGCAGATGTTTGAATGAGTTAGCAGTAATATTCAAGTGTGTTTAGTAAGTGTCAATTTTTGAATATATATATTGAATATAATGAATGCAGCAAGACTGTATTATTTTTTTAACACATTTGCCACAATAATTGTTCCTAAATTTCGAAATGTTTTCCATCCACCAATTGTAAAAAAACATCCTTATAAATACTTAAAATAAATAATAATAATATACTATAAATTGTACAATTACTAATAAAAAAAAATGTTACATGCTTGCTTACAATTATTTAAAATTTCGATAATAGATTATATTAAATTTATTTATTTAAAAAATATATATAATATTTTAAATGATTATAAGCAAATTTTTAAAACACAAATTTGAAAAAGAAAATATTCATTTTAGTGTAAAAAAACGATTGATACATATGTAGATATCTATTTATACATATGTAGATAAAGAAGATAAAATTATATATGAATTTTTGACACACACACACGCGCGCGCACGCACGCACGCACGCACACACACACATGCACGCACACACACACATGCACGCGAACATACACATTTTAACTTGTTCGTACAAAACTTTTCAAATACATAAATTTTTTTTTAAATAAAATTATTATTTTATTAATTGGTCTAATAATAAATATATTTATATACATTTTTGAAAAGGAAATTAATCAGAACTAAGACTATAACATATATATAGTATATATTTTTTATTTTGTTTACAATTTTATAGCCTATATACTTTGGAAAATTTTTTAAAAAAACATATTAAATAATATCAAATCTAAGTTACAATTGTTACAATTTATAAAATATTCATTGCAAAACTGATTTTATCACAAAATTCAAAGAAATGCAATATTTTTATAATAAAAAGAAGATAAAAATTACAAAAAACATATGGATTAATATGAAAATGCACATTAAAATGTATAAAAATACAATAAAGTTATTATAATATTGTCATGACTTTAAAGAATATTAAAAAATTATATTATAGTACTGCAAATTTTATTATTAATTTTCTACTATTATTATAACTCTGTCAAAACAATTTAAGCTTGTTACAATATATATTGTATATATGAAATTTGTTTTTATACATAAGTTTTATTTATTTATTTATTTATTTATTTATTTTTTTTTGCTCTGTAGACTCTTAATCATGTAACTTTGCTATAATGTGAATCAGCATTAACTTTTAACTATCAGTGCTTTTATATATCATTAATTTTGTAGTATATAATTGAATTATAAAAGAGCTCTATTTGAATAATTAAATGAACACTTTTTATAGACTAGTAGCAAATGCATTCAAGATATTAGAATACTGATAATTGATTTTTAATAGCTGTTTTAATAATTGATTTCTATTTATATAACATAAGATATCAAAAGTAGAAGATATAGATGTAGTTTATTATTATTATATTTTAATTTTATGATTTTGTTTTTTTTGTGCTACATTAAAAATTTTTTTGATTTATTTATTTAATTTATAAATTAATTAATTTAAAGTATTTTTTGTCTTTGTAAAAAAAATTTTGTGCAATATCAATTTCTATGATATTTTGATATAAATTTATTATGAATAAACATTCATATTATTCAAGTAAAATATAAGGTAGTAACTAATTGATAAAATATGTTTGAAATCATAAAAATATAAAATATATATATATATATATATCTAATGTTGCCATGATAAAATCTTAAAAAAAAATAAATCTCACATTAATGGCAAGATAAGTATAATGATTTTATATCATATAAATCTATAAATTAAATTAATAAAATTTTAATATATTATTTCTATTATAAAAATCTTAAAATCAAATATATTAATCTTCTTAATTATATAAAATCTCTTTTATATTAAGATAATTTTTTTATAAAATAATTATAAAATAATCCTTTCTGTTCACATTAAAATAGTTATTAAAGTTTTAGAACGACGTATACGTGCTACGTCATTATGTTAATGTTTTTGCACAGTATTTTGATATCATTTTCTATTAGAAATATTTAAACTCTTGATTTTATAATTCACATCAATATATAATTCTAGCACTTATGCTAGGTATATTTTTAATTCTTAGTTTAAATACTGCGAATATGTCTGGGTCTACGTACTAATAAACAACAAGAAGTCAAACCAGAACTGACCTTTGCTAATTCAGACATACGTAATGATCTAGTTGGAAATTCAATTTTTTCTGCAAAAACTTTACTTGATTGTGGAATTTCATCTTCTGATCTGTGAATCAATGTTCCATTCACATAAAGTACATTGGCTGCAGCATCTTCAGGCACAGTTAATGTTTGGTAACTATAAGTTGCTTCTCTCTCAATTCTCTATGTTACAAATAACATATATATATATATATATATATATATATATATATATAAATATAAGAGATAAAAAATCATTGTTAAATTGCAATTAAATACCTTTAAAACTTCTTGAGATTCTTTTCCAGCACCTACACAAATAATATCTGGACCAGCCATTGTAACTAAACTTTTAAGACGTTTGGATTCAGCAACCTATAAATAATAATTGAATAAAAAATACACATACTCTCAATCTTAAATGATATATATAATATATATATGTAATTATAAATGCAGTAAAATAGAAAATTAACTTCTTTAAATATATATGATATTTTAACTATATCAGAAATAATCAAAAAAAGTTTTTATTTCAATAAAACAGATTTTTAAATAATTTAAGCATTATTTTCATTAACTAATTTTGTTTTTTTGTAATTAACACAAGGCATGAATAAAAAAGTATTATTATTTAAATATATTATAAAAATATATATATTATTTCTTTATAGCATTGCAGAGGAAAAAAAAATAAAGAAAATTAACTGATATAATATACTAATTTGAATTGACTTTAATATGCATATTATGAGCAATAAATAATGTAACTTTAATCAATCATTAAAATTTCATATTTTAAAAAAATTAAATATTCTTTTTCTAAAAAAATAATTTTTTGTATTTTATACATCTTTTTTTATATACAATTGATTAAAATTACATTATAAAATTTCATAACATGATAAATTTATGCAAAACATTATAAATATTAATCACATGCGAGATTGAAATATAATTTTGTGTATCAGTGTATGTATGTGTTTCATGTGCAAAATTGCACTAAGCCATAACTCACATACTAGATAAAACTCCATCTGAAAGCATTCTGTAAAACATCTGCAATGGGTAATTGTAAAAAATATATTCACAAATAAACTTGTTGAAATCGTGCAAAATTGTGTTTCTAAATTGTGAAATTTTTTTTCAATGTAATATGCAAAAGAGAGTCAGTCTAATACACCCAAACCTGAATTGGGGCTGAGGTAAGACTCTCCACTATCACCTCTTCGCCACCATCACCCACCTTAAATGAATATCAGAAAAGTAAATCTTTGATATTTTATTTTAATTAATCATATTTTTAACCAATATATTGTGCAAATATATTTATGTGTTACATATTTTATGAAAATATGTTTTAAATGTTTTTTATTATAATAACATTTCAATATTTATTCAAAGAATTATAGTAGAATTAAATATATAATTATTAAATTAGTAACAAAGAATATAATTATTAAATTAATATATGTATAAAATATAAATATATGTATATAAAATATAAGATACAATTACCCATATATTTATTTTATTATAATTATATCAATATTATCACATTTCACAAATTTTTAACATATAGAAATAAACATATCATGGAAATACTAAGAACATAAAAAAGTACATTTCTAAAACAATCACAATATACATATACATTTTGATATCCTTATAACACATAATACTTTTGATGACACAAGTTATGCTACAAATAAGAATATTGAATAAAATTATAAAGCAAACAACATTAATTTTTTTTATTTTAAGAAATATTTAATTAAATAATTTTCATGCAATATATTTTACATTTTCAGAATAAAGAAATATTAGAAATAGATTTATATAAGATACAAGATTCAAAGATTAATATAATATATAATATATACTAAGAAGCAAATAACTATACAAATTATATTAATATATTAATAAATACTAAATAGTTATCAATTTAATTATTTAGTAATTATTAATCAATAATTTACTAACCTTAATAGGTACACAGGGATATTCTGGAAATGCTGCTGCAACTGCTCTTGCACCTGCTTCATTTGTATAATGAGATAATCCAACAAAAAATTCACGACCTATAAACAATTATTTTTAATTAATAATTTCTTTTTTATTATTATATAATTATTATATAATAATTTAATAATTAAAACAAAATTTACCGGTAAATAAAACATCTCCTCCATCTAAACGAGCATTTTTATCAGCTATTTCTATAAGAGGAATTTCCAATTCTTTCTTTAAAACAGCTCTAATTGTCTCAATCTAGAATTACATCATTAGTCTAGTCATTCATATATTAGAAACATTATTAATATAATAATGTACATTATTACATAATGTACATTAATACACATAAAAATATAATAAATTTATTTTGTTTTTTGCAAACACAAAGAAATAATTTAAATTTTGTTTTTTAAATTATACGTATATATGTATATTATTATACATATATATTAAAATATGATTTTCTTACAAAGATGCAATGAATTAGAATCTTTTTGTTTGTAAAATAATAATAATATTAATTAAAAATATTTATTAATTTTTATAAAATTTTATATAAATATACCTCTTTTAGGCGCGACGGTTCATTGGGCCGAGCTATAAGTGCAATACCATTGCATACAACTGCAATATCTTCAACAAAAACACAAAGCGGTGAGTTTTCATCTGGTGGCATTTCAACCACATCGATATCGAGTTCTCGCAAAAGTTGAGCAAGTGCCAAATGTTGAGTTCTAGCTTCATCTAATGTGACCTCGCCTCTTGTACGAAGTGAAAGAGGAATTCTGCATAAAACTGCATGAGTATAACGATGGAGAGGCATAGTGCACTAATAGAAAGATTTCTTTCTCAAAATATACTTCACTATTTTTTATCTATTTAAATTATAACAATCACAGAATAAATACTATCTTCTTATTAATTTTATTAGAACACCGAATGCTACAAATGTAGATCTTGACGTTTATGTAAAAACAATAGTAAAGCAGTATTCTAAACATTTACATTTATAATGTCACCAGATAGTGCCAAATGATTTTAAACTTTCTAAATTTCAAAATAAAGATTTTGTTTTTAATTCATGAAGTATTAAGATTTTATAATAATATAGAAACATTTATTAAACAATAATATTATATAAAAATAATATTTCAGTGTTATTCTTATATTATATTTGGAAAATGATAGATTGGTAATGCTGAGAAATAAATTAAAATATATAGAGATATTATGATTTGTCAAACATTTAAATGTAATTTAGAAATGTTATAATACATAAAAAAATGAAGTAAAGAAAACTTAATTTACAATGATATCGCATAATAAGCGATAATTATGCGTTTTAAGTTTGTAAGAACGTTATTAGTGCTTGCACTATTAGGTAATATCATTGTATGGTATAGAATATGGAGGTTATTTGCTACACAAAACACTTTACGGTTGTTGACACCAAATATCGTTACTCCTGATCCTCCACAAAAATTTCATCGTCGATTAGCTCGATTAGTAACTGTGGTTATACGAGAATTTGAAACTTTTGAAAATGATGTGACTTCAACTGTAGAGTCTGTATTAAGCTTTTTTCCTACTATACCAATTTTAATAATAAGCAATGAATTGCCATATCCTCCATTGGATTTAGACTTTGCAAATGAAAGTATGCAGAACGTTAAATTAATAAATTTGCAACCGGAATTTAATAAATCTTATGATGAAAGAAATCCTCTTTTTTATGTACGAACAAAGTTTGTTTTATTTTTACCTGATGGTAGTCGACTTTCTAAGCAAATCATACAAGTAAGAAACATTATATACTTTTATTATTCTCTTTTAAAGCAATTTTTTAAATTTTATTCTTAATTATTATAATAAGTAAATATAGTATATATATTATTTTGAAATTTTTATAGGAAACTGTATCACAAGCTACAAAATTAGGAATAGTTAGTGTACCAGTAGGAAGTATAACTTTAAATTGCATTCATATAGATTTAAAAGTGAAGGAATGGAGTGTCAAGTTTTCATATATAACTGGTAATGAATGTGATGGAGTAAATGGAAAACATGCTACAATGCTTGAAACTAAATTATTAAAAAAATTAACTGATCCTTTCTTATTACCTTTTACGGATGCATTATACATTCAAACAACTGCATTAGGAGCAAAGGTTTGTATTTTTTTAATTTTAATTTAATTTAATTTGAACTTTCTTAATTTTATTTTTAATTAATTTTATATTAAAAGAAGACAAAAATTTTAAATAAATTATTTAAGTTAATTTAGTGGATGTTTTTTTCTTGTAATTTTGAATATTTAAAAATTTTGTGTTTTTTATTTTTCTAAAATAAGTATATATAAGCACATATTAATAATATTAATAAAATTAGTAAAATTGATTCTAGTAGATAATTTATTACATGTTACCAGATTCATATGTTATCAAATTATCATTTTAATGAAGGAAAGTCATTGTATAAAAATCAGCAATTTCAATGGAAGGTACAACAATTATATCAAAATCGCGAACGATCTATGTTTGAAAAGTTGGGAATTAAAAAAGTTATAAGAACTTCCAATTCTATAGAATGGTATGGTTGTTCTAGAGACAGTATTAGATGTTTTGGATCAGTTATAAATGGTGTTCCTTCTTATCTTTATCAAAATCGATATACCCCACCTTGTTGCCTCTCAGGATTAAGGAAAGTTGCTCATCATGTATTTGATAAATTAGAAGAAGTTGGTATCAGATTTTGGTTAGAAAGTGGATCTTTACTTGGTGCTATGAGAAATGGTGATATTTTACCATGGGATCATGAAGTACAAATAGGAGTAAATCGTGATGATCTTGAAAGATCACCATGGTTAATTAAAGCCATGAATAAACCTATTATTGATAATCATGGTTTTGTTTGGGAAAAAGCAACAGAAGGGGAATTTTTTAAAGTGCAGTATTCAAAAATAAATCATTTAACTGTAAATATACTTCCATTTTATGTTAAAAATGGTTCTATGGTTAAAGATGCATGGTTTTTAAATAATAAAGATTTTCCAGAGCAATTTCTTCATCCAATGTCAAGTATTGAGTTTGCTGGCAGACAAGTACCATGTCCAAATAATATTAGGGATTTTTTAGAATTGAAATATTTTAGAGGTGTGATTGAAAATCCAGAAATTCCTGGTAAAATTTCTTTTTAAGATTTTGTTCATTAAAAATTAATCTTATAATACATCATATACAAAATTAGAAAAATAATTTTTTTTAAATATATAATTTACATTATCTAATAATACATTATCTAATTTACATTATCTTAATAATTGTTTTTTACTATAAATATTAATATTGAGACTTTACAATCTCTTTTTATGATTTTAATCTTATCCAAATTAGTATAAAAAATTGAATTAGAAATGTATTATAATATTTTCAAATGAGAAATATTATTTTCTGATATTTTATAAAATTATATATTAATCATCATAAACTAAGAATTATTATTAATTTGGCTAGAAATTTAGTATGAGAACAAAAAAAGATTCTATAAAATATCCTTGAAAATGTAGATGTTATATATTTTTTAATATTTATAATAAATATAGATATCAACAAATTTTTATTGTATTTAAATAATTATTAAATATTATTGATAAGAAATTTTACTTTTTTTAATTTTATTAATGATGAATTATTAGATATTTCAAGTTCCTAAAAAAATTATAGATTATTTTAAATATAATATTGAAACTTATAATTATAATAAGTTACATATACAAAAATCTTTCTTTTAAAAAAAAATATAAATTTCTTTTTTTTATATAAAGAAAATATATAGATTTAGAAAGTAATATTTTGTAATTTTTATTTTTTAATTTTAATTTTAATTTTTTCATATGCAATCTCAGTATTAATTATAATATTAAAAATTTTATTTTTATTTTATTTTACATAAAAAAGTTATTTTATTTTACATAAAAATGTGCCAATGATACAAAAATTATTTATTTTTAAGAATAATATATTTTTTTATATTTTCATATGTTATTTAATATTTATTTATATATTTAATAACTTTAATAATTTATTTGATATAAGAAAAATTTATATAATAAAAATATTTATTTAAAAATAAATGTAACAGACACTGTGATAGCCAGTGCTTATTTATATTTGAAATATCTGCAAATAAAATTTTGTATAATGATAATATTTTGTATTAAGTTTATAAAGAATTTGCATATGTATTATTGAATTAAAATTTTTAAAAATATTAATTGAATTTTTAATTATAAAAATATTATATTTTCATTTATATCATATATTTTCTATAATGATTTTAAATATATAATGCAATATTTACAAATATATTCTTTTAATTATTATTTTTTTAAATATATATTAATATATTAAATTTATTAAATATATATTTAATAATAAATTTATTAAATTTTATATATGTATATATATTAATATTTGTTATTTATGCATATATATAAATATAAATATATATATATGTATATATATATATATATATATGCAATTAAATGTATTTCTAAAATTACAAACTTATTCTTTAGAAGTATTTAAAAGTAGATTTATATTATATGAAAGTATGTGGCATTGTTATATGTATGGAATTGCAAAAATTTTCATAATTCTATTTATAAAGAAATATATTATAGTAGTTTCATAATCGTTAATAATTGCTTCTAGTTTAGAAGACATGTTACAGCAATAGATGATAAGTTTAATTTTATAAATTATTCTAAATTTAGTGCCAATTTGTTTATAAAGATATTAATGATAGATATTGATATGTATGATAGGTATTTTTTGTTATAGAAAATGTTAATAAAGTGCTGATGTTTACAAAAACATAAAGTCTTTTTATAATATAATGTAATAATAATAATAATAATAATAATAAAATTTTTATAAAAAAATGATATCTATAATATGATATCTTTAAATATATTTTATTTAAAAAAATACATACATACATAAAATATATTTATGATTAAAAATATGACTTAATTAATGTACCACTCTTATATCTTTCGGTTGTGGCAAAACAAGTGGTTCACGTACAAAACTTAATAATCTTTCTAATTTCATAATTTCTAATTCTCTATGAGTTAAATGAAGTTGTTTCTTGGTTGGTTTTACTTTCAATCTGAGATTTGGTGACAGTTTTAATGTATTTATTGTACCTCTGTTCATATAAATATATATGTTATTTTTATTAAATAAATAATTATATTGTTAAATAAAATTATATAAAACAAATTCTTACCTATTATCACCTACTATAAGGAATGGTAATTTATTATTAAACGCAAGTTTAGTTAATTTATATTTCTTTCTATTAACAACTGGTTGATTGCATATTGGTCTGTATTTATTTACATTCAAATCAAAAACTGTAACTTTCCCATCATTTGAAACACAAGCTAATACTGTTGAACTATATGGTGCCCATTGAACATCTCCAATTGGAACATTAAGATCAAACATAAAAAGAGGTTCCCTATAAAAAATTTATAACATTAATGAACATGAGAAGAAAATAAAAATTTAAATAATTATAAGTGATAATTGATATTTACATTCTGTCATCTTCCCATATTTTTATTCTCCAATCACCAGAACAACTTGCAAATATACTAGAATTGAATTTATTGTAAACTATTTGATAGATTGGCATATTATGTGCTTCATTATAAGTATTCATATAAACACTACTATATGCTGTATTACATTTATAAATTGTTCCTTCTTCTGTTCCAACCAAGAATATATTTTGATTCGTAGGATGAAATGCAAAACATGTTCCACAACCTAATAAATTATATTAAAATTTATTAAAGTAAAAAAAAAATATTAATTATATAAAATATATTTTAATATAATTATATAAAATTACCTTTTAATGTAATCATAGTTCCATCTGGTCCAGGTATTGGTGGTCTATCCAGAAAAAGAGTCATTACAGTTGTCAAACCAAGGTCATTTTGATTTAATATCCAATAGTTTATTTTCCCATCAATACTAACACTGTAGAATGCTAATTTACCTTCTTCTGTATCTGGTGCCCAATGTACCTTGGATATTATATTAATATTCAACGTATTAAATTTTTTTAAAATTTTGAAGTTACAATAAAAATGTGATATTAAATTTCTTTATTAATAATAAACATATATTATTAATAATAAACAAACCTGCCATACAATACCTCCATGTTTTTGAATAACATCATTGCTTCTATATTGAGGAGCTGAAGGTGGCAACATTATATTGTAAACAGCAACAGAACCATCCATAGTACCTTTAATTGAAAATATAAGTATCATTATAAATAAAAAGATTTTTGTAAGATTTTTTATTTTTTTATATTTTACCAATAACTAAAAGATGTGGATGTTGTTCACTAAAATCCAAACACATTACTGGTGAATCAGTTGAACAGATCCATTCTGGATATGATGGATTTTTTAAAGTAAATAAACATACTTTTCCATTTGTTATCAAACTACTAAATGACACTGAAATATATATATATATAACAATTGTACATGTAATAATTCTTTGTATAATTAAATTTATTAAAGTAATATTTTTTACTAACTTGCTCCATATGAAACTGCAAATAAATCATAATATCTACTATTGAAGCATAAGTGTGTAACATCATGTTTGTTAGTTTTTTCATAACGAAATTTCCATAAGGGTAATAATGATCCTTCAGTTTTAAATTCATCACTTGGATCATCCCAATATCTATAGTCTAATGATATTTATATAAAACAAATATTATTATTAAATAAAATATAATTATTTTGAAAATAATTTAATTAATAAAAATTAATAATTAATAAATTAATAATTAATAAAATATCAACCTTGAGCTATTTCATCAAAAATATTTTGATTCACCATTCGTTCTAATGTTTTTGCAGCTTGTATCATTCTACATGATATTGCATCAGATTCTGTCTGAGCTTTTTTTTTTATATCCTCTTTTTTTAATGGAAGTGGAACTCTTCTTTCTTTTTCTTTTTCACGTTGTTGTTGAGCAAAATCTTCCTAAAATATATATATATATTAGCCATATTTTTAATTCATACAAATGATTACAAAATAGTTTAAAAAAAAATATATACTTGGTATTCATCAAATATTGTCCATTGAAAAACATGAGTATTAAATAATTCAGTTGGAGGTGGTATTGTTTGAGTACTTGTTTCCTATAAATAATATAAATGTATTATTCCTATAAATAATATAAATGTAATTAAACAAATTATATTTTATAATATTTACTCGCATAGGATTAGTATAAGTTAAAGCAGCCCTTTCACAGAAATTAAATTGATTTGGTATTTTTTTTGGTTTTACTCTTTCAATTTCTTCCTCCTCTTCATGTTCATGTTCATGTTCATGCTCATGTTCATGTTCTTTTGGTTCTTCAGTTTTTTGTTAATAATTATTAGTAAAATGAATTTTGAATTAATTTTTATTTTAAATATTTAAAAAAGTATATGTAAAAAAATTTTTAGTTTTTTCATTATTATTTTAGCTTATTTTACATTTAATTATTTTACCTTCTGGCTTTTTTATTTCTTCTACCACCACTTCTTCTTCTTCTTCTTCAACTTCCTCTTCTTCTTCTTCTAACAAAATAGGTTCTTCTATTTCTACTATAATAAATAGTCAATATTTACTATAAAATAAAATATTTACTATAATAATAGTCAATATTTTTAATAAAATATTAAATTAATTATAGGTTTCTTTAATATTATATTTTTATTATATTTTTAATTTATTTTTATGAAATTTTACCAATAAGGTCTTCTGCTAACTGTATTTTGGCTTCCTCAGAATCTTTGTGCAATATCAATCCAGGTATACTTAGAAATGTTACTAAATGTGGTGGAGGAGGTAACATTATGAATGTTTTCAATTTCCATGACCATTCCACTAAAGAATCTGGAATTCTTGTATTATGTATAGTTAAAACTCTAGCAAATTCTTCTTGTAATTCCTAAAATTTTATCAAATTTTTTTGAAAACATATAATATATATGAAGTTTTAGTAACGAAAAGATACATACTACATCAGTTAATTGTAATTGATCTTCTGGCTTTAAAATAATTTTTCCTCGTAACCAATCTACATCAGCACCTATGTCCATACGGCTTCTCAAGAAACTTATGTGCTAAATATAAATAACAAATGATTATTATTAATTTTTATATGTATAATTTTATAATAATAATAGATTTTTAAATATCAGAAATTATATTATAATCAAATGAAAAATATATATGAAATACTAACTCTTGTTATCTCTTTTGTTGGTACTGCATCTGTTATTCTAGATGTTTTCCTTACTGATGGCGTATACATAATTTTTAAGTTGAAAATTATCTAATATTTCAACTACACATAGAAATATTATAAATATTATAAATTAATGTATCATGTGTATTATATTTATTATATTACCTAATATATATTTTATTATTATATAATAGTTTATTTTTACAGTTTTTAATTTTTTTATTATTAATATTGTGAATTTAGTTTTTTTGTTATGTTTATATATTTACTCAAATTCTTTTAATTTAAAAAATATAAAAATTTTTGATTCTAAAAAGATCTAGAATTTCATTTATATGTTTTGTATTAATTAAATATGCTTTTTTTGTAATAAATAACTGAGGAACAGTTCATATAGTAAACATGTATTAGAAAATTAAATGAAAACTAAACTGAAGAACTGTCTTTATATCTTTGTCTTTTTAATAAATATACAAGAAATAAATTCTGGTTTCCTAGGAAACATATTACCATAACATTTAAATATTATTTGTTTTAAGAAAATAATTATTTCATATGATATAATCATTATATTTAAATTATATTATAATATTATAAAAAAAAATTAAAGTTCTTAAAATTCCTTACTTAATTTTGTGTTAGTATACATATATTATAAATTAAAAATTATATTTGAATAGATAAAGGATAAAGTATAATATATTTAATTGTAAATTTATATGTAATTTAAAGATAGAATATTTATTCATAATATTACATTTTAAGAAAAAGAAATAATATTTTTAAAATATCTTATGTTACATATGGTTATATAGAGGAAAGAAAATCAATAATGGAGCATACCATGATAATGTAAGCATGTTTTCTACTTGTAGATAAGTCAGGATAGCTTACAAATATTTGTGAGTAAAATTTTTAAATTATCATTTATTAAATAAAATTTTACATAATAGAATTTTATATAATGGTGTATTATATATAAATTATATTTAAATTATATTATATTTCAGAATAAATTATTATTTTATAAGTTCAAAGTACTTGTTCAAAGTACTTGTGTATAAAAAAATGAAATTTAAATTAAAGATGGATTTTGTCCATTATTAAATATTTAAGTATTCAGAGGTATTATTTTGATAGTTATTTAAAAAATATTATGTTTATATGTGATTATATATAAGAATTTTTTATTATTAATTTAAAAATTTCTTATTTCAGATGAATCGGGAGGATTAATTTTTAATTTGGTATATATTTTTATTTTGTGATGGAAGATAGTGGAATTGACAGTGACCCAAAAACTACTAATCATGTAGAAGATGAAAGAATTTTTTTGGTAAATATATAATTTCAAATGTATTTTATTATAATAAAAATGAAATAAAAGAGAAAATAAAAAGAATATACATTTTATATTTTAGGGAAGCGATAGCAGTTGTAGTAGCAATCAGACACAGACATCTCAACATAATTCTACTACTAAACAGTTACAAAAGAAACTTGGTATTATTGTTAATTATGATGTAGAAATATGATAATGTTTACAATTTTTTTCATATGATATTTATTTTGAATAGAGGCACGGATTGAACAAGCTAAACGTATTCAACGTAATTCAGATTATGTAAAATTGCCAAAATATGATAAGAATTGTGGGGCTGCTACTAGTGCTGCTGGTCTGATTTCTATTCAAAGACTTCCTGTACCAAATAAAAATAAAGAACATCTTCCTCTTGTTGAATATTGGCATAGTGATAGTGAAAGGTTGTTAAAGATTTGTGTGTGTGTGTGTGTGTGTGTGTGTGTGTATATATATATATATATATATATATATATATATACACACATGTTCATTTCAACATTTTTCATTATTATGCATATTTATATGCTTTTAGTGAAGGAGAAATGACTCTTTTTCGAACAACTAAATCAAAAGATTCTTCAAAACATAAACAAGATCTTACTGATACATTTAGTATTGAAGAAATGAGTGAAGAAAGTGAAGATTCTTTGAACTTAGGACCTGCACAACCATCTCCGGAACTCAAATTTATGAAATCTTATAAGTGCACTGGTGATTGCTTTCGTTGTCAATGTCATATATTATAATTTGTTGTATATATGTCTTAAGTATGTTATAAATTATTTATTTTTTATGTATTATTAAATATTAATTTAATCTTTCAAAGTTTCATGTAATTATATAATGCAAGATTTTATATATTGAATCATGAAAATTAAATATACCAGATATTTACAGTATATAAATTATAATTTATTATTTGTTTAATTTTATATTTAATTTTTTATAAAATTTATTTATGTTAAAAATTAATTAAAAAGTAATCAAACATTAAATGCTCTAATGATGTAGATACTCGTCTTATTCGTGACTAAAGTAATTATTCTAAGAATATTATTCAAATAATTTCTCAATTGTGTATCGGCAAATCTCGCAACATCTATTTTGTATGAAATCGCAATAGATATATCCGTTGCTGTCACTTCAGGATATTACTTAAGCTTTAAGATATTGCTAATAGTGCCGTGAGAAAATTATAAATTGATAAAATAATGGTAATTTATTATCCTATAAATTTTATTAATATTAAAAAATATATAAACATATTTTTGATGTAATTTACATATATAATATTAATATTAATAATAATATAATATGTAGATATAATATATAGATTATATTAAATATCAAATACATAATATTCATCATAGGTTTTTAATTACTTTTAAAATATTTTTTAAAATATTTTATTTGATTTTACATTTTTTTTTGCATTATAAAAATTTTTACAACTTCTCTTATTTCAATGGAAAATTAGTGTTTTTATTATATATTTTTTTTCATAAAAAATACTGGCATTATTTAATACTGATATTAAAATGTTATTAAAATAACATATGGAAATCTTGTATCTCTATATGTATACATTTGTATATTTCCTGAGGAAATGCAGTCTTTTTCATAATGCGCAATTTATCTAGATCGTCTTCAGAGGAAAAAAACAATGTAGTTCATTTCTTATCTTCTATGTGCAATAATTTGACTATATTTTATATTACCGTTATAGAAGCTTCCTTTCTGTATTCCCACTTTTTGTATCTTACCTGGTTGATCTGTTGCACATTGTGATTGTACTTAGGAAAATTTTAAAAATTCCTCGAGCTATATGCGTGATACAGAACTCTATTACATATTGTTCGCAAGTATATTTTTCAAATATATGTATATATATGTACTTACTATATATTATATTTTTTTTTAGAAAAATGTTAATAATTTATTTTGATAAGTTATTATCATTTTTTATTAATTTGTATATTTAATAATTATTAATTATATTATAATTATATATTAAATAATTAATAATTATTTGACAGTTAAAAATAAATATTCGTTCATTCGATTGTGTATGTTCGAGTTTTGTGTATTGCCTTTATTTTGCATTTCTCATTCTTCACGTTTAATGTGCCTTTATTCTTTATTTTATTCACTCGGATAGGTGCAGTTTCAGAATGCATACAATGAACAAAGATATATAAAAAGAACAAAATTAGCATAAGAAAGGAGAATTCTTAAATTTCAATAAATGTGTATGAATACCAGCAATTATATATATTCTGTTTAACATACAGTTATATATCTAAGAAAATGTGTATTTTAATCAGAATTGTTTCAAATAAACATTATGGCAAGTAATATATTAATTTAGAATATGATTTCTTTTAATGTAATTAAAATATATAATGCAAGTAAAATATAATAAAATTTATATTAAGAAGAAATAGATCGTATTTACATCATATAATGTATTTAATCACATTTGAATCAATACAATTAAGTGGAAATTTTAGACAAAATTTTTTGTAAATCAAATTATATTCATTACATTAATTCAAATTTAATAGATATATATACTAATAAACATTACAGTTATATAGAAACATGTTGGCTCGATGCAAGTATACCTACTTCCCATGAGTTCATTGTTCGCGATATCTAGCAACTATAAATGTATTTGTATAGAGTTCTTATTGCGATCTCTTGTCAATGAAAAGAATTCTTTTCTTGAAATATTTTCAATTAAAATAACATATTAAATAAAGAGAAGAGTAGAAGAGAAGAAAAAAAATTATGGAAATTTTTACGTAATGTAAGCAATTTAAATGTAATATATATACTTTATACACAAGTATTGCTATATATAGTTTTTATATTTTGCAGAAATAAATTGGTGTATTTACGAAGATATTTTTTTTTCGAGGCGTATGTAAACTTCATTTCGTGGAATAAGAATATCGGCAATTGGACTGTTAATTAATGGCTCATACGTTTTAAATTTATTCTTCTCTCTGATATTCTGACCAGTTCAATTTTTAATGAAGCCCACCGCCGTGGATCTTACAGGGAGAAATTAACAACCTCTTTTACACGGACATGGTGTTTGGCTATGTGTGATACTGTATACAGGGTGAAACATTTATCTTTCTACATGAACATTATAATTAAAATTTAAATAATTTTTACGAACAGTTTGAAAATGTATAATAAAATAAATTCGTGAGTATATGATTTTCAAACATTATGAAATATATATTTATTTATCCGTTTTCATAACAAATTATATATTTTCAATAATTTTTAATAGAAATATATTAAAGCGATATTTTTTAAATTTATGATCGAGATTATTAATCTTCTATGCTTTACAATATAAATGTTAAGATAAATCGATAAATAGAAAATCATGGATTTTTTAAAACGACACTCTGTATACGTAGACTTAGTATTCGTAGTACTCGCAAACTGATATACGAGATACATTGCGTATGAATATTTAAATCCACCTGGTTTCTCTCGTATTGCTCTCGTATGTATAACATTATATGAGAAAGATGTATTCATAGGATGCGTCGTCAACACTGTTGGTATGGTCATAAATTATACGAGAATTATTGCGTATTTTGTAACCAATTTGAAGTAATAAATTTCATCCCCTTGGCGAACGTGACAATCTGTAATATGAATGCCGCTAATATCTTTTCATTTATTCATACAGGCGAAAAGAGAGGTAACTTTGCTTCATAAATGAGATTCCAGCCAACGATATTGTCGTATCAAGTTATTAGAGATTAATTTAACAAATTAATTGAGACTTATTTAATTGTTATCCATTTTAATATTTAGATTATCAATTAATTTTTCTATAATTATATATTTTTTTTTTTTGATGATTTATATGCATTTTAAAATATTGATATAAATTTTATATCAATGCACGACGAGGCATTGAAAAGAATTATCATTTTTTTTTCATTCTTAGTTTACGAAGATTTTACAAACCTAAGATATGTGTGTTAAGTTAATTAGATTCTACCTGACAAATTTCTCAGTACATAGTCTTTCGTTTTCCTTTCCTTTTAACAAATTGATCTTTTTTTTCACGTGAAAGTTTGTGTGAATGTAAATGATTTAATATCGTAAAAAAATAATTCAAATCCTTCATTTAATATCAATTTTTGTCATTTACAGATAGATTTCAAGAAAGAATGATTAAAGGATTATAAATATTTTGGTGATGGTCTTGATTTTGACACATAACTTCATTTCTAATAAATAAACTAATCTAACGATACATTACGATATAGTAATCAGCAGAGGTGCCGATTTCTCGGGCCACCGCAGCTAAACTTCAGCTTCGTATCTAACCCCAAACCAGTAGAACCGGATTTCGTGAGAATATGTCCCCCAAGGCTTGAAAAAAGAAGCGTCTAAAATAAAGACGCATAGAAGAATTTCATTGGTACGTAGCGCCATGTTTAGACATTATTAAATTACGCGTTACCCGTGATTTTTCTCTTAGATATGTTCTGAAAGTTATTCCAAATCTCATCTCATAACATCGAATAACATTAATAAAATCCAAGTGTAAATACAAACAAATAAAATACAATAATAGTTCGCCGCTTGAAATCATTCATAACCACGCCGGAAATGTCTTAAACTTGTAGCGACTATTAGAAAGATACAAGTTTGTCGTCTCCATAGACCGAACAATAAAGTATTGTGAATTCTTCATTCGTGAGAAAAATGGTTGAACAGTGGCTCATTAGAGGAAGATACATTTTACAATCTTCTATACTATTCTATGACTTTAGAAAAAAAATTGACTACCTGTGGGACCAACACGATCTTTATTTCCTCATTTTATTCTGTTACATACAAATTTCACAGATAATACATCAAATCGCTTTCCCATTATCCTACAATAATATTAAAACATGGCAATTCTTCTATCAATCCAATAATGGAAACCGTGTTTTTCTTCTTGCAGCATGAAAATTACTCGGCGGGATCGTCTCTGCGGTCAGGGATTACGTATCGCGATTGGAAGTGCATCGATCGTTCATTTCCTTGTCAGGGTGAAAAACGAACACGGATCGTTTGCCTTTCGTGGTGGACAGATAAAGCGAGATAAAACGGAATAGGGGAACGCAAAGGACGAAGACAAAGCCACTTTGACCATTACTCTCGAGTTTCGTGTCGATAATTTTTAAGATCGATGCGGTTCGCGATCCCTCGGAATACCAAGTTACACCGGCGTCGGGACGTCCTCACTGTGCGCGAGGATCGGTCGCGAAAACAACGATATCCGATCGATCGAGACTACGCCAATGTATCTGGTCCCGTAACGGGGCTCGAACTACGGTCCGCTGCTCCGCGTACTCGAAACCCATCGCTTCCTGTACCAACGACTTTTTTTTCTCTCTTTCTGTCTCTCTCGAATGACCGGGCTTAATTAAATACCGGTAGAGCGAGGCATCCGTGTCTTCTTCGCGAAGAGGTTACGCTTACGTGATTTCGACGCGCGATTTTACTTTGCTAAGGATAGGGGTGGAGGGAGAGACGGTGAGAAATCGCTGCCGATAGGGAAATGTAGGTAACGAACGAATCCGCGACTGCTTTCGTGCAGGAAACTGCTTAGAAGCGATCGGCGGATGGTTTACAGATGTTGGGCAATATTTGCACGCTATTCAAGATTGGTAATCATAAAAAAGGGAGATAGCGTGGGAGGGTGATTGAAAATTTGATAGAGTTAAAAATGTGATTTTAAAATTGAATTGGAAATATGTATTGAATGAGAAACGAATAGAAGAAGATAGAATAGTATTGATTTTTTGATTATGTATATTTTTAAAATTCGATTTTCCAAGAATTGATTACATTTTGGTTGGTTGCAGGGATTCGGAGAAATATTACACATCGTGCATTTTTATTGCTGAACATGTTAGGCATTGAAATTGATATATAGAATGAGGAGAAATTCTGACAATGTCTGATTATGCTAATGTAAGAAAGTAGTATGTGTTATTAATAAAATAATTATTTAAATTTTCTATTCTGTGTATGCAAAAATCGACCTCTATACATTGGAGAAAAAAAGAAAAGATACACATAAGAATGATGCATACTTATACAGCCGGGCAATGCTTACGCATACATACGCTCATATAAAAGGACTGTCTCCATGAATGAAGTCAAGTGGGGCCACGTGACACCAAGAACGACGTAAGGAACGTGCGCGTGAAAAGCGCGCCGGTGGTTTACGCGCGACACCGAATGTTCAGTGATAGGCCAATGGATGGCGCGGATGTCGCGTGGCGGCTGCTTGAAACACCTGACTGTCGCCTCGCAGTGTAGCATGGACTCGTGTGGCGCACACTTCTTTTAAAAGTGGTAGCACGCGCGGTTTCGAATATTTGCTTTTATTTTCGGCGTACCCAATTATGTATACGCGAGTGACAGTTGATGAGTGTGTAATGTTTGCCGATTGACAATCCTTTGTGTGATATGAATCGAGAGAACGAAGAGAATTCGCGAAATTTCACCGACCTAGAGTTTCTCATCCGTGAACGGTGCACTCGTTTCGTACGCGGGGTTCTGTCCTATGCGCAGTAATTATGACAATTCGTTCGATCTGCGCACGTATCGAATTTGTGGCGTCAAAGGGACAACTTCGCGTTGTATCGGCAAATAAAATTTAAATGCGGAGAAATAATGAGTAAATCACAATCGAAATAGCGTTGTGCGAATTTTATAATCGTGTTTTGTCCTATTATCATCGTGTTTATCGCGTTTTTAATAATATGCGAGGATTAGCATTCGGTATACGATTGCGGTATTCGAACTTCCCGCTTCGAGCGTTCGATATTTTCGAGCTTTCCTCATCGAAATTTCGATTCTCGCGGTTTGCGAAAATGTGATCGAATGGCGTATCCCGCGTCGTGCGACGGATTTTTCGTGGCCGGAAAACGCATATTTTCGTGATCAAAATGACGGTGAACCGATCGGTGGTAACAATAGTGTTAATATTAGTGACTTTCGTGATTGTGTTAGTGCATATGAAGGATGTGACGACACTGGAGTACGACAATCTTCTTTTGGCAAACGAGACCAACGCCAAGCATCGCGTCCATACAGGTCAGTCAATGATTTTCTTTTCGATATCTCTTTTCGGCATCGAATCTTTTATTTAACACTTCCGTTTGATTCTTAATCGTATGATAACTTTGTTTGTTATTAAGATTTTGTATTAATGAATTTAAAAATCGATCATGTGCGTATGAAGCGTAGTCATATTTCCAAGAATTTTCGAAGTCAAATGTTGTATTCATCTCTTTAAAAAATGTAAATACAATTGTAAATACGGATAAAATTTCTGAGAAATTGATTTCGTAGTATCGAGCACAACGTGTTTATAAACAAGATCGAAATAGTTTAGAATACGTTAAATACGTACTTCGAGTAACACGTTTCTTTCGTGGGTTTAATTGTATGCGTGCAATTTACATGTATTTTTATATTGAGAAATTTCGAAGACGCCATCTATGAATTATAAATTATATTTCACACATACATACATACATACATACATACACATATACATACATACATACATACAATGTTTTTCAATTGGACTCGTTATGAACATATTTTTTTCTTTTTTCCGTGTTTTTCTCTATCACTTTAATTTTCTAATTAATTATTTTCATTCATTTTATTACATTCATAATATATACATACGGATTTTCAATTTTATTTATTCATAATCGTTGTTTGAGGACGTTGTTTGTAATTCTAATTTTTCATCCTAACTCTTTAAATATGCATAACAAAAATATTTATTAAAATATTTATTTCTCGAAAAGGAATCAAATTTTCATGACAACGCCCTCTCATCGATGATTTTATACACGTTACAATTTGCATCGAATGTCACCGCTCATTTAAATTATCGAAAGTGTCGCGATTATGGTTATTGCACAATGTATGTTACAATCTTTTTTTAAAATATTACGATCTTATAAAAAGAAAGATATTATATTTTTTTTTTCAATTATGTATTATACATGCAACGTTTCATAATTATCATAAAAAAAGTTGATATTTTCTTATTCGTCATTTTTTTTCACATTGAATGAGATTCTTTTCGAAATTTTTCGTCGTAAAACAATGATATACGTAACATTTATGAACGTTTTTCGTTTGCGGCAATTGCACTCTCTCGAAATCAACAGTATGACGGTGAATGCTTGAACTTTGTTACTCGTCTTTTGCCGGGGAAGAATGACCTTTGCTCTAACGCTTCTGTGAAAGTATTATACGTTCGCCGAGTAAGGCCTTGTGCCTTTCCGAAGTAATCTTCTAACGCACACCTACTTTTCACGGGAAAAATTTCATTTTCCTTTTACTTTCTGTGTTCTGAAATCTTCGTCTTATTTTTTTTCACATATCTCCCTGTATCTTTTGATCTATGAAATTATTTAAAAATAGAAGTATAAAACAATCGTGAATTACGCGCGTTAAAAAACGAGTAACCATTATTGTATATTATAATTTATTATCGTGAATATAATTCCTGATGCTGATTCTTAATATACAACGTGATTCAGATATTTTCAGGATAAATTTTCATTAAAATATTTATTATATTTAGATTTTTATAAGATTTTTATTTTTTCTTTTTTACATCTGTTACAAATTTTCAATTAGTAATAAACTACCGCAATTTCTAATAAGAATAGAGCGTGAATATGAATGAATGCGATATCAAAATAAGCAAAAATTTACAGTTTTACGTAGAATAAGAACGAATCTCGGTCTATACGAATTATTTAATCGTTCGTAATTTAAAAGAGGAACGAGTTTGCAGGATAAATTGACTCTCTTAAAGATGGAATTGAGCAAGTGCAATTGAAATGCATCGTCCTCGATAATTCACGTCAAAGTAACATCTGAAGTAACATCCGTAGTAAAAAGATTACATAATTCTTGGGAAAAATCGTTTCGCTGTTTAATTTTAATTGTGTCCATTATACTAGAGAAAGTTTTAACTTGTATATAGTTAATTTACAACATGATCGCCTTAATTTTATATTTCAACGATCTTTCTCGAACTCGCCGAATTCAAATGAAATTTCGAAAAATATAGGTAAAATTTACAAAATTACAAATTAGAGATTTTATTACTCGCAATTCTTTTCTCCTGAACTCGCTCGCGTCTCATTTTCGAATTATTTTTTCCAAAAAAAAAAAAGGAAATATAATTCGTATGCACGACTCCTCACTCCTCAATTTAATTACACCTGCGTAACAATCTGATTCTTTTACCAAAGAGTTAAACGGTGATTAACGAGTACACGCCTAGAAAAATTTCTCACGCCAGAAAAGAATTCGGGGACCGTGGTTGGATCGTGTCCATCAACTTAATCGCGCCCGTTTAATTTGCATTCGCTTAGAAAGGCGGAAATGCGTTTCTGTTCGTGTCCACAGAGGTGTCGCATGCCAACTCGATGAACTCTCAAAACAGACTAACTGTGCGTGCAAATTACTCGCGTGATCGCGCTTTCTATCGACGTACAAAATGTTAAATAGAATTTGACGCGGTGCCACATTGAAACGTATATACGCGATCATTAATCAGCCGAACGATAATTAAGTCGAAATTCTCCGTTTAAAAGATCTTCGTGCGTACACGGTGTTGCCGGTGTGAAACAACACAGGATGTATGGTGTAACCTGGACGTGTTGAAACCCGTGCTACAACGAAATTGATTCAGAGACATTCTAACCGAGTGATCGCGAACAATCGAGGATTTTTCTTTCTCTCTCTCTTTCTCTCTCTCTTTTTTTTTTAAATTTAATAAGGCAAACAGTTACGCGTGTATCCGTCTTCTATCGTTGCTAATTGAAAGATTCGTAACGAAATCGATCCTTGTCGATTTTTCTATTTTTTTAAAAAGAGAAGAAAAATATATCTCTATAGCTCTATCTATATATAATTTTTGTCCGGTAGATTTGATAATTTAATTTAATTGAACTTTTAGTATTTTTACAATTTTTAATCAAAATTAATATAGATTGTCACGATTCCATTTGGACGATGATCCAATTTTTCTTTAATCTCTAGTCCGATCTTTATAAGAATTTTCCTGATATATCGATCATTTATTATTTTTTTTTTTTACAATTCTTAGAACTTTATTTTACAATAGAAAATGCTAATTGCAAATATATCAACGGCAATTTCATGGTATCAATTTATATTTAGGATGACGCTTTATCTAATTAAGTCTTTATTGTTGAAACGTAGCCGCGATTTTCGCAGGATGAGAGAATCAAACAAGTTGGCAAGTTATTTTAGTACGTGCGACAGTGTCTGGCACATCTGATGCATATGCATGCACTAAACGTAAACGTGCTGCCAGCGTAGAGTTCTTTTTCAACCTTGGTTACGAATGGTATACCGTGTACGTGTCGAGCCTGTTGTTAAGAGGATGGAATCGTACGAATCCTGCCAACGATTAACTGTACGAGCCTGATGCGCTCCAAGCGTTTGTTTAACGATGAAACATTTACGATTCGTTAGCGTTATTTATGATTTGGAACGGGTTCGTTAATAAATCATCCGACACGTTAAGTATATGCGAGCATAGCGCGCGATTGCTTCCCTCTTTGTTCGCGACAGTTGCCTGCTGTGTTATTAATTAATTCTTTTTTTTTTTCTTTTTTTGCGCGCGTTAAACTTCTGTTATTTTTCGAAAAACAATTGATGCAAATCGATGGATAGAAGATCGAATATCTTTTCAATATTGTTATTCAAAATTAATTACAGAGGAAGTTTTTAAGTGCGATCTCAAGGAAAGATATCTTTTTCGCAAAGAGTTTGAATAAAATGAAGAAAGAGATATGAATAGATAAGATGCACGCATTTCTTTTTTTCCGAAGAAAACATTATATCCAATTTTTAATAATTTCGCACTCGACACAAAAATCTTTCCTCGATATTGCAATTTATCTCGTTTCTATTGTGATTCAGCGTTTCAAAATCTTATCTAAAAGATAAGTAAGGTTCGTAGAAGCGGTGGAAATAAAATAAAAGATGGAGACGAAGGAAGCGCCATGCTACACAATACAATGTGTAAGAACGTTTTGTGCGTTTTGATAAGAGAGGATCTACGTACTAACAAGATCGTGAGCGGACTTCTTATCTATTTTCAACGTATGTGTAGCTAGTTACAAGCTACGAAAAGGCAAATAGGATAAAAGAGCGTTTCGTGTTAGAACTCCAGGAAGCCTCCAGGAAAGATTAATGTACACGCGATGTTAGGTGATTGAGGAAGAGATTTAATTAAGATTAACCCCACCGCATTAGATGATTCCTCTCTAATTTACAAGTACGCAGTATTACGCTGTTATGGAATAATGTGATTTATCGTTTTCTTCTCCTACAGAATTATACCACGAGATTCTGTAATTAATAATTGAGAAGCTTTTCGAAAAGAAGAATCCTCGATCAAATTAGCTTTCGTAAACCTGCGTGAGCACTTTTTTTCTTCTTCTTTAATCATTTAACACACTTTTCATTCTAAGCTAAAAATTTAATAATTATCCACTAGTTGCAACAAACTAAATCTTAAGGATGATAGTTTTAAAGTTGCCGGGGTCTCGATACGTTCCTTAATTATTGCGTATTGCATATTACGTGTACGGTCGTGTAATGGAATGCAAAGATTTCAAGGTTTCACCTATATAGCTATGGACAGTTTTGCTCTATTTGTATGTATTGGATACACCAATGTGATCCAAACGAGATTTAAGTCGCGATAAATCATGCATATCTGCCGTTGAAAGTTGGACAGTAAACCAGTTCTCTCGCATTATTGACTTTTTCCCGACGATTTTATCGCTTCGATTATATCTATCTGTATAAGTGAGATTAAAATTTCGCCGTAAAATTTACCGTGCGATTCGATTTCGTGAAATTTTACTTTGAAAAAGAAATCTAGAAATTTAGGATCACATTAAGATATATCCATTTGAGTGTAAGATTCTCAACGATCGATCTCGAGGATCGTTAATTAATTAGGTTGAGAGTGAAAGTTAGTTTTAATCCAATTGCAAAAAAAATCACTTTCAAGA